TAGAACTGAACTGAGTGACGAGAAAGTCGAAAGTGGATTCCTCAAAAAACTGCGGTCATACTTAGCTAGTTCTGAAAATGAGTCTGACCCAGATATTACTTGGAAAGATATACAAACAGCTGTGGAAACATCAGCGACATATATTAGTGATTTAAACCAAAGGGTTACGAAAAATCAATCGATTTCTTCTAAGTCTATTGCACTGATAGATTCTCGTAAACTCATTCCATGAGGTTCCGAACACGATGAGTAGCGTAAGCAAGTCAGATCGAGGTTAAGCAAAAGTCTAAGGAACGACCGTGGGCAGTAGTGGGCAACGAAAGAGATGGAAAAGACGGCGAAGGTAGGTAACACAAGACAGCTCTTCAGCCTAATAAAATAAACTGGAATTAAGAGATCAAGTGTAAGTGGGACGATCTCGGAAAAGACGACACTCTCAGCTGCTCTCAGCCCAAACGTTTAGAACGATGGGCGGAAAATTTTGAGAAGTTCAGCTGGCCTTCAGCTACTCTACAACTATCCACCCATTCCCAAACAACCTGGATGGAACATTGAAACAGGCCCCCGACTCCAGTTGAAGTCCAAAAACCTATGGCTAATCTGAAACAAGGCACAGAAGCTGGTCCAGATGGATTAGCTTCAGATTTCTTTAAGGATGTTGGTCAAATGTTGGCAATTAGGTTGGCTAATATTTGAGCTAAAATGTAATGAATGTAATCACATCTGATTGGTTGCAATCATTTATCGCCCCAATATATAAGAGAGGGTCAAAATCGTCCTGTGACAACCATAGAGGGATTAGTTTAACTAATTTAGTAGCTAAAATACTAGCCTCGATAATTATCAGACGCCTAACTAAGACTCGTGAACTGCATACACGAAAAAATCAGGCTGGCTTCAGAACTGGTCGTGGCTGCATCGACCACATATTTACCATTCGTCAGATCTTAGAGCATAGGCATGCTTATCGGCGTCCGATAATGGTGGTCTTTCTTGACTTAAAAGAGCATTTGACTCTGTAGACTGAGAGGTTCTGTGGCAGTGTTTGTCATTGAAAGATGTACCTCGAAAGTACATAAACCTTATGGAGGTTTTTTACTCGAATACTACTAATCGAGTCAGAGATTATGGCGAAATATCATCTGCTTTTGCAACCTCAGGTAGTATCCGTCAAGGCTATCCACTTTCTCCATTTTTGTTTAACTTTGTCATATACCTACTGATAAAAATAACGCTCTCGTCGACTGAATTCTCGGGCATCGATCTCCTACGAGAGCGTCCACTTATCGACTTACAATACCCAGATAATATAGTCCTGTTTGGTGAAGACGCTGATAAAATTCAGTGTCTTTTGGTGGCACTGAGCAACAATGCCAGGATGTTTGAGATGCGTTTCTCCCCATCTAAATGCAAGTTGTTGCTTCAGAACTGGCCTGCGTCAACACCTAAACAAAAGACAGAGAGTAAAGTAGTAGAGCGCGTTGACAACCTCACTTATCTTGGAAGTCTGACCAGCTCTATTGGGTTGGTGTCTGACGAAATCTGTGCATGGATTCAGAAACTTCGTTTGGCTTTTGCCAAATTATGTCACTTAAGGCGAAGGCGAGATATCCGTCTGTCAATAAAGGGGAGAGTGGAATGCGCGGTAGTTCGTTCTGTTCTACTTTACAGCTGCGAAACGTGGCCATTAAGAGTAGAAGATACTCACAATTTACTAGTATCTGATCACAAACGTCTTAGAAATATTGCCAGCATCTGTTGGGATCATCGGTTAAGTAATGGTAAGATTAGACGCAGAGTATTAGGGAATAATGGTAAATCAGTTGGTGAGGTTGTAAATCTCCATAGACTGAGTTGGTTGGGCCACATTTTACGTATGCCTGAACACCGATTACCACGACGCGCAATGCTAACTGTTGTTGGGGATGGTTGAAAGAAAGTTAGGGGTGGCCAAACCAAAACGTGGCATCAGTGCTTGAAGACACTAACTTCTAGTCTGAGCTATGTTGGTAGATGCAGACTACTTGATTGGGGTCCGCGTGACTATCGTAGCCAATGGTTGGAAACTCTGGGTGACAGTGGCGTCGGTGTATACACTCTTTTTCTTCCCTTAAACCGTGAGATTAAAATCGCTTTCTATCTCTCTTTCTTCCTGTTTCGTATCCTTATATACATTCCTTTTTATATATAACTACCGTTGAAGTAACTACTTCTCTGAATCTGGTGTTCAACTTGTTGTGCTAATGCGGTATGGCAACTTGAGCCGATACATATATGTGCCTGATCTTACGTTGTAGATGATTGATTGAATATATATCTCATTTATTAGATGGATCGGATAATCAATATCGTTAGAAATTTACGGACTACAGAACTGAATTACGAAATAGATATAAGATCTATGAAAGTTTGATATATTTAGTGTTCCCTGATGATATTTATTTTAAAACTTCATTATCACTATTTTATATATAAGAGAATATCTTTTGTAGGTGTTCGGTTCTCCGTTTAATTATAGACCTTCAATTGTCCTTCTAATCAATATCATTATAATAGCATAAACCTAAGATAGTAAAGAGTCATTACAATTTCTTCCTAACTGACTAAAACTGTTGACAGAACAAGCTTTTAGTCACGATTAAATCAAGTATCTGAGAGAACAAAATACTTTCACAATCTTTCTCCTGAGTTGTCTGGCTTCTCTGTTATTTCACAATATAGCCTATTTTATTAGTTAGTGGTATATCTTGTACCTGAGCTCTCAGACATTAACTTCTTAACCGCTTCGTAATCCCCAAAAGTTTGATATTCTTAAATTCTGAGATAGAAAAGCAAATGTTGTACAATAATGGAGGATCCTTACTTCCAAGGTTAGTTGATGTACAAAAAACAAAGATATTTGTAGAAATAAATGTGTCTTTGATAACTTAGAAGCTTCTGGAAAACAGGATAAAGTTGGTAACAAATTCAGTAATTGTTCATTCAGGATAATAAAAACGTAATTCATTATTTTCAAGAATCCACATCAAAATTCTCTAAGGTAAAATAACTAGCTGAAGTATTTTCAACAACTTTCTGACTTCTGAAAAATTTCCACAGGAATCTTCACTCTCTTAGTAATTATCAGTATGGGATTATGGAGATTGTTCAATTTTTGGTTGAGATCATGAATCGATCAGTGTTAGACCACCATTAAAAACCTGAAAGCATTGGATGGTCGTTTCGTCCCAGCATGAGACTCCTCAACAGTATGCATCCATAATCCCGAACCCGGGATTCGAATCCAAAACCTTCCGCCTCACGTGCGAACGCTTAACCTCTAGATCACTGATCCACCATCCAACGGTGTTAATGTCCCACTTCAATAATTAGTTAACTAGTTAATATAATATTTACTAAATTGCGTTTTAATGATGGAAATTAAAGGAAATCCAATCTAACCATCTTCAGGTACTTCATATACTCCTTCCTATTCTTAGAAAAAAATATCTAAGAAAAATTGCTAACAAGAAACAAATCTGATGAGTTCGAATAAATTGAGTATTGGGTAGATTGTTATATATAAATTAATGTATTTGTAATATCCCAAAGAGTAGAACAGGTAGATTTTCTGACGTTTTGTGACTTAGTGTAAGCCACTTCTTCAGAGAATAAATAACCGAATTAAAATTTAAAAAAAGTTTTTCCAACTACAAAGAAAGGAGAGTAGCTGAAGCGTTCTACATAATGCTTAATTCTACTTCTCCCAATAGAAAAGAAGGCCTTACCATACATCCTACTTGGACTATCTATCATAGCCATCTAGTCTGGTATTATTTACAATTCACACTATTATCTTACAAATTAAACTCTATCCTCAATTGGTATTGTTTTGCTTGTATCTTCACATTAAGGTTTTTAGGACTGCAGTTGATCAATCTCTTATTGGCATATGTGCATACTGCGCGTATTGCCTCGATATTTGCCTTAGTTCACAAGCTTTACAAGCAAACATGGACAGTGGCTAGCAGTGGAATCCAGGACGAGCGTTCCGTCCTATCTGAGACTCGTTAGCTGGATGTACGTGCATCTGACTTGATATTCACTCTGGGACTCGAACCCAGTACCATTCGCTTCAAATGCCAGCGCGTTATCCACTTAACTACTGACTCCTGATAGCCACTTGCTTGTGCAATGAGGTGAATTTAAATTCACTTGGTGTTGTTTTGCTTGTGTCATTTCTCACCATAAAGGTCACACTATTTTCATCCCTAGACAGTGCACACATACACACACACAAATTTACATACATGTCGTTTATGAATCACCTTGACCGAAATGATATGACAATGATTTATTCAGACCTGTTTTTTTATTGATCGCACATAATATTCTTATGTTGTTCCTTTGTACTATTTAAACTTGGATTAATTTTGATTTCAGTAGTCGAAATCATGAGTCAGTTGAAGCTAGATCACCAATGGAAAACCTGAAGGCACTGGACAGCCGCTTGTCCTACTGTGGGATTCCTCAGCAGTGCGCATCCACGATACTGCCCCCCAGCGAGATTCGAACCCAGGACCTGTCAGTCTCGCGCGCGAGTGTTTAACCATTAGACCACTGGGCTGGCCGGCACCCAACGGTATTAATGTCTAGCTTCAACTAATCCACGAAATTGCGCCACCGCACTACTGAGGATTTCCATACTAGAACGAAACGGCTGTCCAGTGCTTCCAGGTTTTCCATTAGTGATCTAGCTTCAATTGACTCATGATTTCAACTATTGAAATTACTAAAATCTCCACAAAACCCCTTCTGATAATAATTTTGATTTGGTTATTTATTCATTCTCTGAAGAAGTGACTTACGCCAAGTTACGAAACCTCAGAAAATCTAATTTTTCTATTCATTGGGATATTACGAATATATTGATTTATTTCTAAGAAACAAATCGTACATTTCATTCTCATAAATGTTCTTATTTCTCCAAGTTTAAGCAATTAAAGATTGAATCTATGTTTATAAATATATACGTATATAAATCAAAATAAGATTATACATAGTCACATTAAATAAGCTTTATAATGAATTGATTATAATGAATTGTTTCATTCTGTTTATAAGTGTCATTGTTGAATGCCTAATTACTCTTCGTATATATAGTTATATATGTTGTTGTTGTTGTTCCTTCTACATTCTTCTTCATTTACATTCATTCATCCATATCTCATGAGACTTCCAAGATGATTTTTTGAATTTGTATAATATTCTTCATCTACATTCTTATTATTATTATTAGTATTAGTATGATCATTATTATTATTCCGATCATTTCTTGGATTATAAATATTATCATCTATATTATTATTATCATCATCGATATTATTAGTTTTCATATTGTATTGATGATTAGGTATATGATCTGTATGACCAATAAACATGGCTCTAACTAAATTAGTATCTAATGGTTCAAATAATTCATAACGTTTTTGTAATGGTAATGATGATAAATATGTTCTTGGTAAATAATCATAATAATAATGATGATGATGATGATAATGGGATTTGGTTAGTTTAAATGTTGTACAATAATCCATAGAAAGGTATATAATGAATAGAATGAATAAAATTCTTAGGTATAAATCTTTTCTTATTATCATTAGTAGATATATATGACTCTGTTAAGATAAAAAGGAAAAAGAAAATAAGTGAAAATAAAATTAAAATAAATCACTAAAGTGTTTGAAAAACAAAAAAAATGTTTCTTATTGTCAACCTCTAAATACTTAACTTCAACATAGAGTATATGTGATATTTAGTCACTTAGACTAATGACCAGTTTAAATGTTTAAATGTTAGGTTGTTGATGTTAGTCGATAGTTGATATGAGACCTGCTTTTTGAATTATTTGGCACTTGTTAGTAAGAAGTACATATATTGTTGGAGGAATTAATATTTCCTGTAGGATTTCAATTCAGGTCAGTCAATTTCATGAACTGATATTATTAACATTAATCTATTCGACTAGTGAATAATTTCTTGTAGGATCATGAAATAGGAATTACTGTCGTATTTGTTTATTCCTTAGTGTTAGCGAATATATTTAACGTTTAATGTTCAGTTAATTTTATTTAAACATATGGTTAACTGAACCTCAGAAACAATCTGTCATCTAATCAATGTAAAAGTACGAGAAAGGATATTCTGATGTAGTCGGTCGTATGAGTTCCGGATAACGTTGACAATCATCTGAGGAACTTCGTAGTGTCGAACAAGTTTCCATAACGTTCTCCTATCTACACTGTCAAATGTCTTTTCATAATCAATGAAGTTGATGTATAGTGACGAGTTCCATTCAACTGATTGTTTGACGATGATCCGTAGTGTCGCAGTTTGGTCTGTGCACGACCAATCCTTACGGAATCCAGTCTGCTGATCTCGGAGTTGGGTCTCTTCATGAGCTTTTATCATATTATTATTACTCTTTAAATACAGAAAGCTTAAGTAAAGGAAATCATTCTTCTTCTTTTTTCTTCTGATAAAGCAAACATAAACAAATTTGTTTCAATCTTCTGCTCACAAAAAAGATAAGCATATTATTTGTACATAAGGATCATAAGTAGGTAAGTTTGGAGTGAATACAACATAACATTCAAGACTACACAAACAGTCTGTGTATCAAAATAGTTAAGCATTTTTAATAATTATAGTTTAGTTCTAGTATAGGACTACTTATTGATTATCACCTAGATTGTGATCAAGGATCGAATCTAGAACTATCAGAGATCATGATGAGTTAAAATATATTTGTTTATATTTATAGCATCAGTTAATAATTTACAATCACCATTCATTACCATCAGTAGGATTTGTCTCACGCCCTACATGGTTGAACTTAACTAGTTTTTGTTTCTCATTAGAACTTCAGGAATTACCTCTGGAAATTAGTCATTAGTGTAAACATACATGATTACTGTTAGTATTTCATAGTTCATATCACGGGCTGACAATATTTAAAAATCAAGAATCAATGGACAAATGTCTCGTTCCTATGTGGGAACCCTAGGCAGACAATATCTCTGACCCTGACAGAAATTGAACTCAGGACTATTAAGTCTCTCAGTGAATTATTAACCTTAAGACCACTGAGTTGACGCATAATGATCTTCACTTCTGTCTATAAAATTCAGCAATCTCCAAGATCATCCTTATACTAATAATGTGCTTTAAAAAAAACAACTCTCAGAGTTCTATTGAGCAATCCTAACCAGTAGAGTTCAATTATATTGAATATGAAGAAGTCCTCCACCAATGAAACTTAAAGATCATTGTTAAATGGTTGAGGTTAGACATTTAACTCATTGGATGTCGACTCACTGACTTAATGGTTAAGCTCAAGCCTTGAGATCTGAAGGTAATGAATTTGATCCTCGGTAGGTTGTGTACGCACAATTTTGAGGAGTACCACACTAGTATGAAATATCTGTCCAGTGCCTCCTGGTTTTGAATATCTGTTTAACTAAGGTCAGTTTGTGATGTAAAACTATAAGATTCAGCAATCTCCACGAAATCACTCACACTAATAGTAGTATTGTTCATTATGAAAATTGCGATCGGTTAACACAAATCATTTAAGAACTTCATAAATTCACCTAGAAGTAAACAACTAATGAGATTCATTTTATGACGAGTAAGAACAATCTCTACAAAACCCCTTCAACACTACAAAGCTAAATTATAGCGATTTTAAGTAATTTAATAGTCAATTCAACAAAAACTAGTCACATCCCTGTGGAAAATCTTTCTGAACAGCTTGATTTTCTAATCATTGTGATCATATACATTAGTTCATGATGCTTTGCTAAAATCCTTTCGCATTTCTGCGCAGAAATTCTTATTTCATATATTTAATCTCCATCTTTGTAAGCCTTAGTTATTGAATACCTTCGAAAAGAACAGCTTTCAAGTTATGAATTAGATTATAGAACTTCTTGAAAATGAAAAACTCCTAATTGAAGTATATTAAGATGGTGGAGAAGATTTGTAGCTCAGGTGGATGAATTTGATGTAGTTTTGTTCTCTGAGTACAATCAAACCATCCAGCTCAGAGAACAAAACTTCATCAAAATGAAGTATATTAAACCGAGTTCATTCAGATGAAGCAATCTTTGGGGACACTTTTGCACACTATATATAATTTTAATCTCAACTTTTCATTATATTTTTACGATATTCCTCATCAGAAGGAAAACAATCCCACAAAACCCATTCTGATAATAATAATCACCTGCTCACTAGTGACTGACTCCAGGAGACACTCCTGGAGTTCTAGTGAGAATTCGTTACCAGTGGAGCTCAACCAGGTCTGTTGTGAGTTATCATCTCACTGAAGACAATGGTGTACGGTGGCACAACTCCGTAGATTGGCTGAACTTGGACATTAACACCGTTGGATGCCGGCCGGCTCAGTGGTCTAGTTGGTTAAGCGTCTGGCGCGAGACTGATAGGTCCTGGGTTCGAATCTCGCGGGGGGCGGCATCGTGGATGTGCACTGCTGAGGAGTCCCATACTAGGACGACACGGCCGTGCAGTGCTTCCAGGTCTTCCATGGTGGTCTAGCTTCAATTGACTCATGATTTCAACCAGTAAAATTCCAATAAACCCTATCTATCAATGTACAGTAGAAAGTCTAGAAAAATTTCAGTTAAAATAACATCAATAAAGCCAAATTTAAACATAGACAAATTAAATAAATATCTGATCCATACAAGGTGATCCATACATAGTGTAAAGCAACACTTATAAGTGACTTCAATATAATACCCGAACATCAAAGATCAAACATTATGGCAACATTGTATAGGAATAGTCTAACATCAAAAATTGTGAGAGAAAAATCGACTTAAACACAGAAAAAGTGTTCTCAAAACTTTTTAACAAGGTATATACTGAAGAAAAAAACTTCTTAAAGCAACAGTAAGATCCAGTTCCTTATAAGTTTTAAGCTAAGGTTAGTAATCTTTCAAGATGTCAGTGTTCTTAGATTCATCAACGAATATGAACTTAGTACATTGAATAATAGATTGTAATAGTGAAAACCTACCTTCTCTTTTATTTTATCAATTTCTACCTACTCTACCTATAGTTAAATGAAAGTCTAATTTATCTATCCGACAACATCATCTTATCGGTAAAATTATATTATATAGAGAGATTGAGTGATACTTAAAGTGACTCTCCTTAGTTTTAAAGCTTTGTTCATTTAATCTTAGCAGATTTTGTACTAATTAGAAGTGTTTCACAACAGAACTAATGAAAATTATTAGAGTTTAGTAAGTTTAGGCAGTTTATTGGCCTTTAAAGGATCATTTTTACCATTATAGAAGTATTGTTGCATCATCTCACTAATTTAAATGTTAGCATATACAAATGAAATCATAGAGGAATGATCGTTGTCATTCAGTCAGTCAGTCATCTACAACGTAGGATCAGGTATATATGTGCATCGGTCCAAGTTGCCATATCCCATTAGCAAAACAAGATGAACAACGAATTCATAGAAGTAGTTAATTCAGTGGTGGTAATATGTATATGATAATAAAGTCAGGGTTGAAGATCGTTATCTATTTTAATATCTTTACTTCACTAGTTTAATTATTATTCAATAAACCTTTAATAAGATATCTTTTTAGTGAATTTATCAGAATTAAAGTAAACTCGAACTAAACTGATTGATTCACGTGTTACGTAATGTACATATATATGTAGTCAAAAGTGAGCAGTTGATGCTTTTAACATTATCGTTTCTACTCTGAGATAACAAATGTAGGTATCAAGAGTATTATACAAAGGTATCTCTATCGCAAATGTAATAGAATAAAAGATAAAGTCATTCATTTTGCTATTTCGTACAAACACTATCAAGTAGTTATTTGATTGGCTAGTTCTCCGCTATTCACCATACTTTTGCCGTCTATTCAACTTCTAATATTTACGAAATATGAGTAGACCACAAATAGTTAAAAAGAATTTTTTTTTGTCTAACTAGCACTTTATCATCAGTATAGCCTTAGATACGATTTTTAGTAATGTTGATATCGAACTTACTTTGTTCAGAGGTTAAATTAAGATCTGGTGTATATCGTCTACTCTTAAATGTCAAATCAAATGTAATGGGCTGAACAAAAACTAAATCGTTTGTCCACAGTTCCCAAACTATTTCATTTGTAAGTGTTTGAATCCTCTCCCTGTTGATGTATAAGTCTGTGACTGATCAATCATTTACTTTGATATATATATCCTAGATGAATTGTCTCAATATGGTCATTTTTTGTAAGTTTTTATGGCAAGCTAACAACTGAATCCAGGATATACATTTTATCCTACCTAGAACTCAGCTGGACATAATACAATTACAACAACAGTCCAGAATTCCAATGTCTGAAACTCGCCAACCATTAATAATAATCTTTTACCGTCTTTTTTAAAACTAAAAAAAGATCTATAAAAAAACCTAAATTCTATAGACTTAATTTCGAGTACACTTATTCGAAACCCCCGGATACCATCAGCAACACCCTTCTGTGGGAGAGAACAA